ATATTTCTATAGATACAACCTAAAATCCTATTTGCCCTACACTGATTGGATGGCTTTAGAGACTGATCGACTATTACACCAAGATCCCTTTCCTTCATAACACTATTAAGGTTATTCCCATTCAAATTATGATAACCCTCATGTATTATCTTGCATCTATTATAATTAAAACCCATTTGCCATTTATTTGCCCAATTCACTAAATGATCTAAATCCTTTTGTAAATCAACAGCATCCTCTTCACATCTAGCAACACCAAAGACCTTAATATCATTTGAAAATTTAAGTAATTTATTGACTATTCCTTCATCTATGTCATTCATGTAAATCAAAAAAAGCAAGCGTCCTAAGTCTAAGCCCTGAGGTACCTCACTTGTGACATTAATCCAGTTTGACTGGACTCCATTTGTGACAACCCTCTGCTTTCTTCCATTCTATCCAATTTTCTGACTTATCCCCCACACCTATAGACCTAATTTTTTTACAAGCCTTTTATGTGGCACCTTGTCAAATGCTTTCTGAAAATCCAGAGATACCAAATATACACCCTTACCCTCATCTACATAAGCAGTAACCTTTTCAAAGAATGTTAAAAGATTTTTAAGACAAGATTTTGCCTCGTGAAACTATGTTGACAATCCAATAAAATTCTAAGCTTTGTTAAATGACTTTGCAAAGCATCTTTCAGCAGACTTTCCAAAAATTTTCCCACAACTGATGTAAGACTAATGGGTCTATAATTACAAATTTTATCACCTCCCTTGAAAAGAGGAGTTACATTAGCTAACTTCCAATCCTCTGGTACCTGCCCACTATTCAAGTACTGACAAAAAATAGTAGCAAATGGCTCACATATCTAATCTTTAACCTTCTTCAAAACCCTTGGGGAAATATTATCTGGCCCAGGAGCCTTATCATTTTTTCAACTTCCCAGTTTTTCTTAACCAGCTCAGAATTAATGCTGTCATCTTGTTTGATCTCGTTTCCATTTATCAACTGATCAAGATGTGGAATACTGTTTAAATCCTGATGATTAAAAACTCAAGAAAAAGTAAAATTTAATAACCCAGCCATCTCATAATCATCAGATGCTAGCCTTTCTTTATCATCCCTCAAGGGTCCTATCCCTGTACTAACATTTTGTTTCGTCTTAATGTATTTACTGTTAATTTTTACATTTTCATCAAACATTTTCTCGTACATCCTTTTTGATGTCCTAATTCCCAGTTTCACCAACTTTCTTAATCTTCCAAGTCTCCTGTCATATCGTTCAACTTAAATTTATGAAGCTTTTCTTTAATTTTACTTCTTAAATTCTTTGTGAGCCAACCTGTTTTTTTTTACTTGTAGCTCCCCATTTCTTTCCATTAGGAATATGTTTACATTGAATATTTAAAAATTATCTTTAAAATTTGTCTACATCTGATCAGTATCTCCAAATAACTCAGCTGTGCAACTCAAAACAGATAACCCTTCAAAATTTGCTTTTTTGAATTGTTTAACCAAAATATCATTATACCTTATCTCCGTATGCAGCAAAACATTGAACCTAATAGAGCAATGATCACTTGCACCCAAATGTTCCCAATTTTCACCCTCTCAACCATTTCTGTACTTGAAGTTAACAATAAATCTAAAATAGCATTGTTTCTAGTTGATTCCTTGACTAACTGGTTAAGAAAGCCATCCTAAAAAGTTTCCAAAAACCTTTCTCCC